GATTGGTTTGGGTAGACAAAAAAGGTTAAGTTCCCTTAGGAGAAAAATGAAATAAGATAGACGTGCAGGGGTTTTAAGTTCTAAGGGATATTGTGTTGTTATGCATTTGTGATATTGTTGCAGCAAAGAGTGAAAGAGGTAAACAACTTATATATTATTGATTGGTGGCAGAAGGACATATGCTAGAGTTATAATTATGAGTGATATTATTTAGTTGCATATGATAAAAGACTTAAGATGTAAACGTATAAAGAGCTATGGCATTTATTATTGCAAATGGGAGAGATTACATTTGAAAAACTAGAGATAACTACTTTTATAAAAGAAAAGGTTGCACATATGGTAGCTCAGTTGACTACATGAAATAAAGAAAATGGAAATGATTGTAGTATTGGAGATATATTGAATCATCTGGGAAAAGGAATAAGGCACATGTTGAGGTAATAGAAACACAAGAATCAATAGTTAATGAAGAAAGAAGTTCGCATTTACTACTGGTATTGAAATCAATGCAAAAAAAATGTCAAGGAAGGCCTTCAAAGCATTGAGTTAAATGCTTAGTAAAGAAAATGATTAACAAATATAAGAGGAAGAAGGGAAATGAACAATTAAAGTGTGTTGCAATTGTTGAAGACGCTGCAATGAAGGTGAGGTATACCATAATTATGGGAATTAATTATGTTTTATTTTTGTTGTTTTAGAAAAAAAAAATTATAACTTAAAGACATTATCAGGTGGGGATGGAAATTAGCATGTCCCTTGATAAAAAGCTAATTATTCTTGAGGGTGACTTTGTGAATATGTTTTAATTTTAATAATGGTTGTGGCAGCAATGAAATTGAAGCATGGTGGAGAGCAAATTTTCATCCATTGATGAGGTTATTAGAAATTGTAATGGGAAAGCAAAGGATATGGAATTGGGAGGACAAGATATAGTATTATCAAGGGCATCTAATGTTTACCATAATGTGGCAAAAAGGACTTATTGCAACTAGAGAAACTCTCAATTGATGATTGAAATAAGGGAAAGAAAGAAGGAAGAGCATAAAGCTTTGTCAAATTCATAGTGTACAATTCATCGTGGCACTTGAATACTGATGTGCAAGAGAACTAGGTAAGGCCTATTAAGAGTGGTGGCTTGTGTATGTTTGTAAAGTAATATATTGAACAAGGAAAGTACATCAAACTCAAGTTCATATACGTTCATATTTTTAGTTTGATTCACCTTGCCTTAACTATTAGTACAAAACCAATAACAACCATAAAAAAATTGAATGCTTGGAAGTAAGTAATAAAGTTGGAGTCTCAAACATGAAATTAAGCTTAGCTAAAAAAATAGATGAGTTCCATATGCAAGATGAAAGTGATAATGTTTAGATGCATGACTTGGACCAAACAAGCTATGAAAAGTGAGCTTCACTAATTACATAATTTTGCAAAAAGAGCCCATGATCATGCCATACTGGTTGCATGTAAGCAATCTAAATTCTCAATGTGGAGTATATAGGGATTACCCAAAAAGGGTACCCTGATATGGTCTGTAGAAATTTGCATGTAGTACAAAGTGTAAGAAAACAAGTTTAGAGTTTTGTAACTATATCTTCACTAATAACTTCTAACAACTAACAAGGCAACTAATCATTGTTGCATTTTAAAGACAATTTACTACTAGTTCATGGTAGAAGCTTTCAATGAAAGTACTAGAATAATCATCATCCTTTATTATACAGCTAATGCAAGTAAACACGAATAAGCAGTTTAGAAGATCAAACTAAGGAAATCAACTAAGCACCAATTACTAAGTAAAATTTGTGATTAACATGTAATCACCACTAGGCCAAGGCAATATGAACCCTTGAAAGTGTATCAACATTTTATTTTAGGTGAATTTGGAGGCCGAATAAGGTAATTGAACTTCTTCCATATCATTGCGGAATTGAAATTGCAAGTTAAATCTAATTTATTTTTTGCAACATTAACCTAGCAAAGCAAGTAACCTCTTAAACATCGAAACTAACAGAACTTAAAGCTTCTCTGTGACCTAATAAGCTCAGTTTCTTCATGTACAATGGGGTAGGTTACATAGATTACATTCTCCAATTCTACATAATAATAACTTATAATGTATCAATTGAAATTGTGCTCACTGCTCAAAGTCTCCAACTAAAAGTTGGTAGACCATAATTCATTATTTTTCCAATAGATTTCCTTTACCAATTTAAATGTCTTAGCATATGATAGAGTGAAAAATGGGTTTTATTAGTTATTGTATAAAAAGCTCACTACTAATATATGCATGAAATATCCTAACTCGCATCATGAGCATTTCTTGCAAAATTTAGACAAAGATGAACACCAACATGACATAAAGAAGTAGAACTTAAGATAACTAACCAATAATGCCAATGATGAAGCTTAAGCTAGACAAGGAAGCAGAGTACAGAGTAAAACTTGGAAGGGATTGTAGAGAAAATATGAATATCTAAGGGTATAAAATGTGATTGAAATGGTTCTCTTTATCTGTCTGTGATTGAGTGACACATTTTGGCATTGTAGGTGTTCTTTTTTAGTGTCTGTTAGGACCAAAATTCTTGTGTTTGGTTTCTTAAGAAGACCATATTGATTACCTGTCATATTTTAATTTTTTATTTTGATTTTTGAGAGGTGCATTTTGGCTTTGAGTTAAAGCTTATTTCATGTGTGGACATATTTGGTTATTGCAAAATTTGGTACCTACTTTTTACTAGTGACATGAAACTTTTCTTGCTTTGGCTTAAATATTACTAATTAATCTTCATAATTATGTGTCCTAGCTTATTAACATTACTCTGTATTAATTCTATTTGCTCGGTACTCAAAGTCTCCAACCAAAAGTTGGTAGAACATCCTCTCCCCAATATATTTCCCTTACCAATTGAAATGTCTTACCATCTAATAGAGTGAAAAAAGGGTTTTATTAGTTATTGTATAAAAAACTCACTACTAACATAGAGTAAATATCCTAATATCCTAACTCATAGTAAGAACATTTCCCTACCTAACAAAATTGGTTTCCAATAACCTCCATTATCGTCTCGAACCTCATTTATCTCATAAAAATAGCTTATAAGTCTACTGATCTTCAGTGGCATCGATTGTCTCTTTCTCATAATTCTCTACTCACTATTCCACAAAATCCCTAAGAAGCACTAAACTATAAAAATCAAATTTCACTACAAAACACTTAAGCATACTATGGAGCTATGTAAACTACTAACTATAAACAATTATCACCTAATAGGAGCATAAATAGCTTCAAAGACTTATGACCTTGCTAGCCCAGCACTTCATCATATTCACGATGGGACTTTTCGATTCAATTAATGATTTTCAACTGGATCTGCACTCTATCTTTCTTCCATTGCTCCAAGAAAATTACTATTGGCTCCTAGTCTCCATCACTCACCACCAACTGCAAGCACAAGAAAATGATGCACAATCCAAACCTAGATGATGTAGAACAAAGCTAGAACAAATTTGGGTGTAATTCTTGGCATATGTTTGGTAGTACGAATAAGAATAAGTGGATGAATGGATGAAGGGGTTAGGAGTATTCTCATCATATCCTGATGAATTGGTACTATTCTGTTTTAAATAAAATTCTACTGGGATGTGTATTGTCAGGTGTGAACCGATGGGTACACAAATCATCCACCTTTTATAATTTGATCAAGAAATACCCACTATCATTAATCAAATAAGCTCTAAGGGCATTTGGTAAACCCATTTTATTTTTGGTTTATCAAATCCAAGAGACTATTTTTTTTTTTTTATGAACAATCCAAGAGACTAATTGTGCATTCATACTTTGAAGAAAAAATTCCAACAATCCTAAAATATTAAATAATTCTAAATTAGAACCTTGTGATTCCAATTTTACCCCTTTTCTCAAATTAATTTACCCAAATTGCTTAATCTTCTCTACCCATGTGTGTGTCCTTTCTGTAATTATATTTTTCTAGTAGTTAGTCTTCACACTTATATATCAGACTCACTCATAATTCTCAATCCATGTGTGATTTAGGGTGTTACAATTCTACTGTAATATTAATTGCATTAGCTATCCTTATTTTATTTTTGTTCTTGATTGTACAATACAATTTAATTAACTAAATTAAAAAAATGGTACCATTCTAATTAACAACAGCTTAGGTTTCCATCTTTTGGTTGTCTTATTGGTACTACAATATTAATTGTATTAGCTATCTTGTTATTTATGAGGTCAATGTGTTCTCTAATTGTATTTTCTACAATTTAATAT